CATAACTAAGGAAAATTATAACTATCTAGTCTTCAACTACACCAAAGACTCCAGAAGGATATACTATTACCTGAGAAATGGGAGAAGGATGCAAGCAACTTTCGGGAGTCTTGCAGGGTAGACAGAGACAGCTGTCTGGACAGTCACCTAATGTTCCTTTGTAAAGTTGGGGCATCTGTCTTCAGTCCACAGGCCTAGAGTCTCTTGGTCACTTTTCTCAGTGTCCTGTAGAATGTCTGGCAGTTTCCTCTGCAAAGCAGGAACCTGAAGGACCATTTTGTCAAGCAAAGTTCAGTGGTCACCTTTCTGTGGGTCTTGCATGTCCAGTCGATCAAGCAGTCCAGGCAAGAACAGTTTCTTGCCCAAATGGCTATTTTTGCCAAGGTGAAGATAAACTCCATATGGAGTGTCTTTGATGCCCATCCTCCTCTCTGAAGTAAATTGGTGCTGCCAGGAGCAGACATGTCTCACCAGAAAGTCTAAATTTTTAAAACATTTTAAATACCATATTCTGTAGGTCTTTGAAGTGTTTGAAGATTTATCTATCTATCTGAAATATATCTATGTACACCTAGAAGACTTAACTAACATGGCTGCAAATATAATTAGCATAGATGACTAATTATTAATCTATTTTTAATTATCCATTACAATTATAAATGAGCTGTACAAACATAATACCTTAAACAAGAGTAGAAATATACAGACAGTATATCAAAATTAGTTTTAAGTTTGTATCAATAAACTAAAATCTATACCAATGTAAAACATTTCAAACAAGTTGTTGCTCTTTAAAAGTAGGTTCATTAATCTACCCTTTCATCCTATCATATCTAAACTATCCCCTTTTCTTCTTTAGAAAGAGATTGCATTTATAACCAACCTGATTTAAATAAAAATATTGGTTTTTCTCTGTCTCACACCAGAGGGCTCTTCTGATTTGAGACACAAGAATCTCTTAACCATTTTTTTAAAGCAATATGCCTGGGTTTAGAGAAGGAATGAGCCAATTCCATCTCCAAAGTCGGCTTGGTATATTTGGGAATTTGGGCTTAGATTCTCTTACTACTTATTCTCTTACCCCCTGCTGGAGGGGGGTGCTGTATCTTATGGGGGCATAAAGAAAATTTTAGGATTATGGAGTAGTCTCTGAGGGTGTATCATCTGAGCCAGTTGCCTTGAAACAGTTCTGGATGTTGGATCATCTGGGCCATGGTGTCATTGGAGATCATCTGGGAGTCTTGGCTGGTCAAACCTGATGTATCTTAATCTGGGACAAATCCATAACCTCTGGCTTTCTGTGGGAACAAAAGCAGAGCCTCTTTTCTAAGCAACACATCCTTACATCCAAATTTTGAAGTCAAGGTATCTTTACAATATACATATTGGTTTAACTCAACAGCTTTTACGAGCAAATATTTTTCTGCAGTTAAAAATCCCAAAGACAACACAATCCAAATTCTCTGTGTAATATCCATCTCTACGTGGCTTATTTTTTATACTACCTTTACTGTCTCTTTAAAGACTTTATTTTTTAAAACTATGTATTTGTTTGTATAACTGTATATATCACTTTTTTTCTTTCAAGCCTACCTACATTTTTACACACATTGTAAAGCATTTAAAGTCTTGTTCCATCTGAATCTGTCTCATTGTGAATCTATTGCTTTAAACTGCAGCATTCTAAGACTGAAAGGGTACTGTGGCTGCTGGCTCCACCCACCTCAGCTTTCCAACATGGCAGTGGTACAGTTTACCACCAGCTCTGGGTCTGGAGCCATGTGTACCATCAACTATCAGAAGCAGTTTTATCAAAGCAGCGTGTAGCCCAGAAACCACTTTTTATTTTAATACTAGCAAAGGCTAAATCCACCACGCAGTGTAATGTGCTGCTTGCAGACGCCTCATTCCCGCCATACTGCTGGTCAAATGTGCATGCTAGGAACCCACCAACTTGAGAGAGACAACTAGGAAGATGTTTTTAGCTCCGTTTTGAATTGCTTTTTAAATGTTCTCAGGTTTAAGGTGAAAACTCGAGCCATTGGGTGTCATTTGTAGCTGGAGAGTTTTCTCTCCGGGTTCCACCAAGCCCCGGCAATCCAACAGCCCACTTATAAAATAAACACACAGACGCTTATATTATTTACAAACTGTATGGCCACAGCAGGCTTCTTGCTACCTAGTTCTTATATCTTAAATTAACCCATTTCTATTAGTCTATAAGTTGCCACGAGGCTTGTGGCTTATTGGTACCTTACATCTTGCTTGTCATGGTGGCAGCTGGCAGTGTCTCTCTGACTCAGCCTTCCACTTCCCAGAATTCTCTTCTCTCCTTGTCCCGCCTATACTTCCTGCCTGGCTACTGGCCAATCAATGTTTTATTTATTAACCAATCAGAGCAACACATTTGACATACAGAACATCCCACAGCAGAGGGGTGGATGGATGGACCACTGACATGTCCTGCTTCTGCCCCTCTGTCCTTCCTCTTCTTTGTCAACTGCACTGCTCTTGTTCAGAGTCTTCAAGCATGTCAAGTTATTTCCTACTTCAAAGCCTTCACAGGAGTTCCTGAGTTCCCTGAAGTGCTCATCCCCCAGTATGGGTGCATGTACAAGATCGACCTCCAGTAGTCCTCCTCAGGTGGAGTTCATACGTTTTTTTTTTTTGTTTTTGTTTTTGTTTTTCGAGACAGGGTTTCTCTGTGTAGCTTTGCGCCTTTCCTGGGACTCACTTGGTAGCCCAGGCTGGCCTCGAACTCACAGAGATCCGCCTGGCTCTGCCTCCCGAGTGCTGGGATTAAAGGCGTGCGCCACCACCGCCCGGCGGAGTTCATACATTTTTGAGAAACATTATTGAAGCTTCATGGGTCTGAAGCTCTCAGATTAGGGTAGATTTGGCTGGCTGGCTTGCAAACCCCAGGAGTCTTGCAGTCCCTATCTCCCCAGTGCTGAGATTACAAATGTGGCATCGCACCCACCTTTCTGGGGACCCAACTCTGGTCCTTTTACTTGCAGGGGAAGGCCAACATGTACTGATTGAACTATCTCCCCAAGCCCTGATTGACTGTTCATAAACCTTTATGTTTCATAATTACATAATCCATTCCTTTTGTGCTTAATAGACTACAGTTTTCTCTCTTCCCCACTGAGAGCAGAGAGTTTGTTTTATCCACCTAGATGCAAATAAGAGGTTATTAACCACCCCTATTGTGGCTTTCCGACTCACACTCCCTCCTGAGTTGGTATACTTGAAATTGATCACAGTAGCTGGATGTAAATCCTTTTCATGTGCAATTTTGATGGTCTCTTTAACAAGATGAATGACATAATTAAAAGAAGAGAAAAACTTATTATATAGTGTACACATACACACCTAGCTCCAAAAGAAATATTTTCTGAACGCCCTGGAACATAAAACCATGAAGAGTTATACTGTCATTCTCCTCTGATGATCACACTCTGAAGTGAGTTTGTAACATCCTGTTTTTATTACTAGTTATGTAATGTTTTATTAAGCTGATTCCAAAGCAATACGTTCCCAAGTGGTTTAGATGAGGACACAAATAAAGCAGACCAACCATCATCCTGGCTGGTGATGCAAATGCTCCAACTGCCATCTGCAGGGTTTTCCAAATTCTGGAATCCAAGAGTTGAAAACTCACAAGTCAAGTCAAAGTCAAAGTCATCAGGCACAAAGACCCTACCCTCCATTTCAGAAGTTGTTTTCAGTGCTTCACCAACCTTCATTTGGTCATCACAGCAACAGACAGTGGAGAAAGACATCAGTGTGTCACCCTCCCTTGCCTGTAAGCAGCTGACAAGCTTTATTTCTTCAGAGAGTGAGAACTTCAGGAACCTCTTTATAGTCATTCTTTTTCTTGTTGCTGGGATGAAATACCTGCAAGAGCATCCTGTGGAAGGGGGAGTTTGTTTGGGCTTATGGTTTAGGACATACAGTCCACCATGGCAGGGAAGGCATGGTGGCAGGAGTGCAAGGCAGCTGGTCACCCTGCATCTGCGGCCAGCAAGCAGAGCAGGTGGATGGATGCTGGTACTCAACTCGCTTTTTCGCATCTCCTTTCTTTGCTCAGTCTAGAACCCCAACTGGTGGGATATTGTCCATGCTCCAGATGTGTCTTCCCTCCTCAGCTTTTTCTCTCTGGAAACACATTCACAAACACAAGTGTGTCTCCTAGGTGATTGATTCTAAATTCAGTCAACTTGACAATGAAACCCAATCATCACACTCTCTATTCCTAAATAACAGCTTAGAGTGCCTACAAAGAACCTGAAGGATACTGACTTCCACATGAACAAGTATTTGTGTTAAGAAAGTCAGTGACTGGGCTGCCCAGGGAGCATTGCATTCAAGACTGTCACCTGCTGGCTTATGGGTCCTTCCTGACTGCTGGATAGATTCATTTCTGCTATGCCAAAGCTCTTGCCCACATTTCATGACTATCTGCTTGTCTATGGAATGTCTTTTCTCTGCTTTTCAATATACTCCAAATAGATCCAGTGTTTCAAAGACTAGATTGGATACCAAACAATTCAGGAACATTCTCCCATCCCTCACTGCTTCTCACCAAATTCCTATGGCACCTTTTGTATTTCCTATTATTCAACATTTTAATTTGTTATTATTTATTTTATGTGTATAAGTGTTTTGCCTACATGTATGTCTATGCACCAGATGCATGCCTGGTGCCTACAAAGGTATGAAGTGGATGTTGAATGCTCTGGAACTGGAGTTACAGATGGTTGTGAGCTGCCATATGTGTGCTGGGAATTGAACCCAGGTCCTCTAGTAAAGCAGTAAGAGTAAAGCATTTGAATCACATCTTCGATTGTAATTGTGTCAGATCTTATCAGTGTCACATCTCCTCAACTACCACTGTCTGTCTCTTAAGATCAGCAGCAGTGACATATATTTATATATTCCTAGCTATATAAACACATATTAGATGTTTAATAACCCAGCATGGTACATCACTTCTCTTTTTTTTGGTGCCAATTTAAATAATTTTATTAGACATTCCATTTTCCACCTGTTTTATTAGACATTGCATTTTCCATGTAGGATACAGTGCTTATAAAGTGCAATGTTTTATTTACTTCCTCTCCCTGTGCACATGTTCCATGTTCAAGTATTGAGAATGCCCAGTAATTTATTGTAGCAGCTTAAATTTAAAACTGCTATGAAACTTGCTAAATTTGGGTCCTTCAATTGTTTCCCTGTGGAACAATGCTACACCTCTACTTGGATTGACTTAATCCACCTCTTCAATGGTGGGCCCTGAAGAAGCACCATCAGATGGAGGAGCTCCTCCACCAGGGAAGCCCCCAGGCATTCCTCCTGGCATGCCACCAGCACTCTGGTACAGCTTGGTAATGATGGGGTTGCAGACTTTCTCCAGTTCTTTCTGCTGGTGTTCAAACTCTTCCTTCTCTGCAGTCTGGTTCTTATCCAGCCAGCTGACGATTTCATTACACTTGTCTAGAATCTTCTGTTTGTCCTCATCATTGATCTTGCCTTGAAGTTTCTCATCTTCAACTGTTGCTTTCATGTTGAAAGCATAGGACTCCAATGAATTCTTGGAGGAAACCTTGTCTCTCTGCTTCTCGTCTTCAGCTTTGGTACATCACTTCTTTAATCTCAGCACTCAAGTGTGGAATATTCCGTTACACTGTGTGAATATATGTCACTGTGATTGGTTTAATAAAGAAGCTGACTGGCCAATAGCAGGACAGGATATGGTTAGGTGGGAGAACCAGACCAAGGACACTGGGAAGAAGGTCGGAATCAAAGGAGTTGCCAGCGAGACCCAGAGGGGAGACAGGAGGGCAAGATGAAAGAAAGGTAACACTACGTGGAAGAATGCAGAGTAAAATAAATGGGTTAATTTAAGTTGTAAGAGTTAGCTAGTAACAAGACTGAGCTATTGGCCAAGTATTTATAAGTAATTTTAAGCTTCTGTGATTATTTGGGAGCAGCTGCTGAGACAAAGAGAAACTCCACCTACACTCAAGAAGTTGAGTCAGGGGATTGCCTTGAATTCCGGCCTGTCTAGGATACATAGTGAACTACAAGCTAGCCTGGATTACACAGTGAAATCCTGTCTCAATGGACAATAAAATCACAGAAAGAGAGAGAAGGAATAGGTGTGTAGCTCAACTGGTAGAGAGCTTGTCTAGTGTGCACAAACTCTGAAAAAAAAAAACAGGCATGATAGTGTATACCTGTGACCTCAGCACTTGGAAGATGTAGGAAGGAGGGTCTGAAGTTCAAGGTCATCATATGCTACACAGCAAGTTTGAGGCCAGCTTAGAATACGTGATACCCTGTCTTCTGAAAAAAAAAAATGTTTTTGGTGTTAAATGAATGGATAATAAACTGCACAGCAACCTGTCCTACAAACCATTACAGCGGAGGTGCTCACTGCAAAAGCGGGGTCTATGTGGTTGCTGTCAGGTCACGACCACAAAAAACGAAAGAAGCAGAATGAATTGCCGCTGACCAGACAGGCACTCCAACCTTCAAGGGGTTAATCAGATCTACGCACAATGGAAAAAGGAGGTGGGGAGAACTCATCATTTTCCTTCATTGAAGACTAATTTTAGGTCTTTTTAGTAAATGAACACGTTGTTTATACTTCATATACTCTCAACCCCCATGTCTGGGAAAACACATAAAATTTCCAAGAATTAAAGTTTCCATTAATACAAGCGCCAAAAACAGAGGCTTGGCCTGCAGGAGAAAGCACATTTGTCCCTCCTGGCTCCTTTTCAAAATCTATAGAAATATATTTACTGCATAATCTTTCTTGTTCGCAAATGCGCTGCCTTATCATTCCTACAATCTAGATGGGGGGGGCGGGGGGCACAAGTCAGAAACCAGAGCACTGACTATGCCTGGATGACCAGAGCGGTTCTAGGCCGTACATAGCCAGTCCTGCTGACTGCAAACTTTCCTTATTGGAAGTCATTGCTGATGGGGTTTGGTTGTTAGTCTCTATTTTTCTTTCCTTTCCTTTTTCTTTTCTTTGTGTGTGTGCACGCGCGCGTGTGTGCGTGAGTGTGTGTGTGTGTGTGTCTAAGTTCCTGAGAACCGGTCTTAATTGGTGAAGTAGTTGATTAGAAAGGATTTCAGCCGTCGTCCTACCCTCTCTGTTCTTATGTGAACAGATATGTGCTCAAGGCAGACACCCCACCCCACCCCACTCCACCTCACCCCACCCAGAACACCTAAACTCTCTCCATCTGGTTTTATTCAATCTGAAGCAACCCAGTGATCTCCCAAAGTTACAATTAAAAAATAATAAATTAAAATCTCTTTGCGTCAGTGAACTTGGACTCAGAAAGTTCTCTGAGCAGCGAGCCTTTTAAAGACGTGTGTGTCGGACCAGCTTCAGAGCCGCGGCTACTGGGAACCGAGCTGGCTTGGCGAGTGCCTCCTCTCCCGGTGGTCCCTCCCTCCTGGGCAGCTCCCTTCCTCCCCCAGACTAGCCCCCGCCTCCACCTTCTGCTAGCTCGGAGGTCTGGCCCCAACTAGGCAGCTGAGAAGCTAGCGGAGCTCTACCACCAGCATCTCTCCCCCAACTCCTCCCCGTCCGTCCTCCCAGAGCCCGGCAGCAGTCGGGGGAGGGGGAAACCAAACTCATTCCTGGTCCTCCAGCCCTCCTCTCCGCGTGCACAGTGGATCGCACCTTCTAGAGTGTTAACTCGGTTCTGGAGGACCAGTATCCCCTGGATCTGCCCCTCGGGCTGTGGCGGGCCCTGCTCCCGGGATGCGAGAGCCAGGGACCCGCCCGCCACCGTACGCCTTGGGGTGCGAGGAGCTCTCGCCGCTGCGCGCGCTGCCGCTGCCGTGAGCCTGTAAGTTACTTTGCTCCTCCCGGGGAGAACTAGGGGACCCGGTAGCACCCCAGCCTGTGACTTCAAAGGCCACACAGCCCAAGCGCACCCAACCCAACTCATGCCCTGGAACGCCACCTCAGCCCTCTGCTGTGCATTTGATCCCTGTGTTGCAAATTAGTTTCCAAAATATACTATGATAGGTACATAGAGAGGGGAGGGGGGCTAGGCTGCTTTTGAAAACGCATCTCGAAAATCCTTCAAATTTAAATCATTCACTTTCAAGTTCGAAAGCGCATCGCTCGGTACCTTGTCAATTACGGTTAATATTTTCTTAATGAACAGGAAGCAATTTCTTCACTGCTACTAAAAATAATTTTGAATTCCTCCTTCTTTACTTTTAACCTTGCTGTTTTACTTAAAGAGCAAGTGGATGGTGACCCTAGCTGGCTTTAGTTTTCTTCCTTGATGGCGTGTGCACGTTTCCTTTCCCTAATCCGGAGATGCTGTGAATCACAAGAGAATTCTCTTCGAGCCTGAGCCTGTATTTGCGGAGAATGCTCTAAGATTTTCGTGTCTGAGGCTATTCCCAAGAGTGCTCAGGGAGATAAGAGCAGAAAAGGAAAAAAATGATTCCTCTGATCAAAAGTTTTCTCGGGGTACTCAGACCGCAGACACAAGCTAGGCTCGCATTTGTATTGTTGACCACATCTTCAATTTTGAATGCCACTTCGTGTGTGTAAAACGGCATCCCTATGTACCCGAGGTGAGGAAATGAAGCTGACGGTTTTTAATAAGCGTTTCTCTGGTGTAGGAGGACGCGTGTGGAGGAAAGGAGCCGCAGGTTCGGATAGGTGCATAGACAGGCTATGGTGACAGAAGATGTTGGCCAGGAAGAGCATCATCCCAGAGGAGTATGTGCTGGCACGCATCGCCGCGGAGAACCTGCGCAAGCCCCGCATCCGCGACCGCCTCCCCAAAGCCCGCTTCATTGCCAAGAGCGGAGCCTGCAACCTGGCGCACAAGAACATCCGTGAACAGGGTCGCTTCCTGCAGGACATCTTCACCACCTTGGTAGACCTGAAGTGGCGTCACACGCTGGTCATCTTCACCATGTCCTTCCTCTGCAGCTGGCTGCTCTTTGCTATCATGTGGTGGCTGGTGGCTTTTGCCCATGGGGACATCTATGCTTACATGGAGAAAAGCGCCATGGAGAAGAGCAGCCTGGAGTCCACTGTCTGTGTGACCAACGTCAGGTAAGAATGAAATGGGGTGAGGCAGGGGTTGCCAGCAATAAGAAATAAAAAGCTCTTTCATGTAGCTGATTGCGAAATAGAGGCTTTTCGTTGGACAGTTCAGAAACAAAAGCAAAAACAAATTTGGGGTGCAGGGTGGAGGCTAGACATTAAAAGTCCTTATAAGTGTAGTTTTATGGCTGAGTCTCTGAGAATGTGTGACTGCTTCTTTGGGCTTTGGATGGGCTCAAAGGATGCCTGGCTCCCAAAACCATCACTTATTTTCATCATGAAGCTGATGTCCATTGTGCACCAGTAAATATCTCCAGCCAATCAAAAGTATTGTGAAAATATGAGATATACTTTTATGTGAAGTGTCCTTGATTTTAAAATATGCTAAAAATAAAATAATTGAAATAAGTGTAAGCCCTTCTTTTTCAAGATTATTTTCTCATATCTGATAGGTTGCTTTAGATTAAAAAATTAAAGCTTAAATCCAGAAGAGACGTTTTCAGTGAAATTTAGTTTTCATGAAAGGGACTGAGTAGCAACAATGCATATTGAAGTCTCTCCTTCCAAAGCTTCCATAGGACAGGAACAAACCAGTTTTTGGGTTACATAGATTTGACCTCAGCATTTACGGTTGCTTCAAAGACAGCTAAGGCACACTTGACTTCCGTGACTCTCCTTTTGTATTCCCACAAGGCCCAAGAACATTGCAGGGGGTCGAATTTTTTTCTTAATCTACTTTGCTGGACAGAGACATGATTTAATATCAACTGCAAAAATGTTTACAAGATAAAAACAATGATAACACTGGAAAATTTTCCAGCATAATTTCTGAATCACATTCCAAATTCACATAATTTACCAGGTGGAGAAACTGAAGAAGCATCATCCAGGCAGGAAACGGTTAAGAAGGAGACTTTTAGTGGTACCTGGGATCCTATAAAAGAAGCACGCATGGCCAGAAGTGGAGCCGCTCATGACCTTACCCACTCTTCCCATTGGCCAGGCCAGCGCGTCAGTGAGAGGTCACCTTAGACCACACAGAGATCCCAGCTTTAGCACTGGGCAGATAGAATCTTCTTTTCTCAAACTTTTGCCTCACTGACAATGTGGATAAGAAGCCCCAGCAAGCAGAGTGCTTAGGGATGCAGAGAACAAAGTCCTGTGTGTAAAGCATTTGAGTTAATATGTTACTACAATATAGTGACTCTGGGTAACTGGCATTGATGTGGCTGGTGAGGCTGTTACATTCAAACAAGTTTTCAGGAAACAGGCAAGAGGTCCTGACAAAGGGAAGTAGGAGAAATGATCACGACAACCTGGAAAATAAACTAATTTTACTCAAGACAATCTGTTGTCACTCTCTATGGAAAAGAAATCATTTAGCAAATTTAAATATATGTTTATATATATATATATATATATATATGTTTTATATATATATATAATCAAAAGAGATTATTCTTTCTATAAAGAGAATTTTATGGTGTTCACTGGTTCCTAAAATCTGCTTTTTGTTACTTCTCACTTTTCAAACAAGATAT